CCTCCGAAGCCGTAGAGGGTGCGGCCCTGGCGCTTGAGCGCGTAGACCACGTCCATGGCGGTGACGGTCTTGCGCTTGGCGTGCTCCGTGTAGGTGACCGCGTCGCGGATCACGTTCTCCAGGAACACCTTCAGCACCCCGCGGGTCTCCTCGTAGATGAGGCCGGAGATGCGCTTGACTCCTCCACGGCGGGCCAGGCGGCGGATGGCGGGCTTGGTGATGCCTTGGATGTTGTCGCGCAGGACCTTGCGGTGGCGCTTGGCGCCGCCTTTGCCCAGGCCTTTACCGCCCTTGCCACGACCAGACATAATGGCACAAGTTACAAGAGAGAAGACGTGCCTGATACCTGAGAGCGGGTCCTTATATAGCTGCTTCGCCTTAGTTCCCACCCCCAACAGAACGAAAGCCCGCCGGCGGGAAAGTGACGTCACAAATTCGGCCTCTGAACCTTGCCCAACAGAACCGAAAGCCCGCCAAGCCGGTGGCGGGAAAAATTACGCCACAAAATCCCGCCTTCATGTCTTGGCGATTCAAAATGAAAGCCCGCCGGCGGGAAAATTATTGTATAAACACCACCTCTGACCATTGCCCAACAGTGCCGAAAGCCCGCCAAGCCCGTGGCGGGAGAGTGACGTCACAAATCCCGCCTTTATGCCTTGCCCGTGCGAAATGAAAGCCCGCCGGCGGGAAAGTGGCGTTGCAAAGTTGGCTTTTGATCCTTGCCCAGCAGAACCGAAAGCCCGCCAAGCCCGTGGCGGGAAAAGTTACGCCACAAATACCGCCTTTATGCCTTGCCCGTGCAAAATGAAAGCCCGCCAGCAGGAAAAGTGATCAACCACTGCCCTTGAACATTGAGTCAAATTCAGAGTGGTATCAGATTAATGCTTTTAACATACGGTTCCTAGAGGTTCTTTACTAATTATCAGAATAGAGAATCGAGGAGTAGAGCCACTTAAGATTTGGCACACGTTTTATTCTTGAGTTGCTTAGGTGCCAGTACCTAGTTTGAGTTAACGTAATTATTTCTATTCTCATGTTACGACTAAGAGGACGTCCTAAGATATTTCAAGTTTGAATGAGGAAACCGACCTAGCAGTTAAATTGACAAAAGTTTGTCAGATACGGTGAGCGGTAAAAACATTTCTCAGTCCCACAGCTACTTTACTTGAAATTGTGGGTGGCTCTGAAAAGAGCCTTTGGTTGAGATTAAGACGTTAACAATTACGCCCTCTCCCCGCGGATGCGGCGGGCCAGCTGGATGTCCTTGGGCATGATGGTGACTCGCTTGGCGTGGATGGCGCACAGGTTGGTGTCCTCGAACAGACCCACCAGGTAGGCCTCGCAGGCCTCCTGCAGAGCCATGACGGCCGAGCTCTGGAAGCGCAGGTCGGTCTTGAAGTCCTGCGCGATCTCGCGCACCAGCCGCTGGAACGGCAGCTTGCGGATCAGCAGCTCGGTGGACTTCTGGTAGCGCCGGATCTCGCGCAGCGCCACGGTGCCGGGCCGGTAGCGGTGGGGCTTCTTCACGCCGCCGGTGGCCGGGGCGCTCTTGCGGGCAGCCTTGGTGGCTAACTGCTTCCGCGGGGCTTTACCACCGGTGGACTTGCGAGCGGTCTGCTTTGTGCGAGCCATAACAGCAAGTAAGCACAACGGCCAAAGACTTGACACGGCAATGACTGGCTTAGAACTAATATTTATAGTATAGAAAGCATACTGATTGGATGAAAATACTGTTCACCGGTGACGTTTAAGTCTCTGATTGGTTTACTTTTAAAAACTACAATTGCACAGTTTTTCTGGCAAAGGTTTGCGGCCGCCCTTATCATGTATGTGTGCGTTTTTAAGGAAAATGAAATAAAATTTCGGTCACTGTTAACTTCTCCACCACCTCTGTTGACCAATACAAGACCATTTGATCTTGCTGCCCTTAAAGAATCGAGAATCAACTTGATTAGTTGAAATGTTGAATTAGAGATTCTTATGCGCTGGGCGATGGTCGTCCAGAGTCTACCTTTTGATTGGTTTACTACGTCTTCCTTAATAGCCAGTAAAAAGGCAGATCTTGAATCCTTCATTTGCGTGCGGCATCTCCGTTTCGTCACAAGCTACAGTATAAACAACGGAGTGGAACGTAGAATTAAAATACAGAAATCTGACTCAGGTTATTCTGCGTACTTTTACCATTATATAGCTGAGTTTGTTTAGAAGCTTTGAGTTCTTGCATTTAAATCCAACTCTTGGCCAGAAATCACTCCATGCATGTGAACATTATTCTTTAATAAGCAGTAGTAAAACTGGTCATATAGTAGGTTAGGATTATTTAGTACTTTATATAAGAGAAAGTGCATAAATCCTTCCCAGAGATATTTCGACTTGCATGTGCCGGGATAAGAAGTCATGTCATGGCTTTGCTCTCGAGCTTTCTCAGGTTTGTAGGGGACAGTCCAACCACCTGTTATTAGCACTGTTGATTGGAAATGTGAAATCCGTATAGCAAGCTGATGCTTCTTAAAGCCCTAAAACACTTTAAGTAAAATATAAAAACTAACGTCACATAGTTATTACGTACAGATCAAAAAGATCTGCAACCCGGTTTTCTGTCTACCATGGAAGCAAACAAACCCTGAGTTCTGGAAGCCATCTCTGATACCTCAACTGTCCAACAATTTGGCTTTTGATTGGCTAATTTGCAGAAGCCATTCACCGTTTGAGCTACCTTTTGATAGACATCTACCGTCTGGAGATGCCCCTACTGTGCTTGAATTTCCACCTCAAGCAGCCGTCTAGCGAGGTTTGGGGGTAACTCAAGGGCGTAGAGATCTTGCAGGTGCGTCGGGCCCGAGGGGGCGGGGCTTCCAGGGTTCAAGGGGCGGGCGTTAGCGTGCACCAATCACAGCGCGGCCCTGCTCTATAAATACGCCGAGCGGGGCCTCGTCTTTCTACTTCTTTTCCTCGTTTTGGCAGTAGCTGTGCTATCATCTTCAGCTATCATGTCCGAGACTCCTCCTGTCGCTCAGGCAGCCGCCGCTGCTGCTCCCGAGAAGCCTGCAGCTGCAAAGAAGACCAAGAAGCCCGCCAAGACTGCAGCAGCTAAGAAGAAGCCTGCTGGCCCCTCGGTGTCCGAGCTCATCGTGCAGGCGGTCTCCACCTCCAAGGAGCGCAGCGGCGTCTCCCTGGCCGCGCTCAAGAAGGCTCTCGCGGCTGCCGGCTACGATGTGGAGAAGAACAACAGCCGCATCAAGCTGGGGCTCAAGAGCCTGGTGAACAAGGGCACCCTGGTGCAGACCAAGGGCACCGGTGCTGCTGGTTCTTTCAAGATCAACAAGAAGGCGGAGGCAAAGTCTAGCACCACCAAGGTCTCCGTGAAGTCGAAGGCGTCGGCGGCGTCTAAGAAACCCAAGAAGACTGCCGGGGCCGCAACCAAGAAAACTGTTAAGACCCCGAAGAAGCCCAAGAAGCCTGCCGTCTCCAAGAAGCCTTCCAAAAGCCCAAAGAAGCCGAAGGTGGTGAAGGCCAAGAAGGTGGCCAAGAGCCCTGCTAAGGCGAAGGCCGTGAAACCCAAGGCTGCCAAGGCAAAAGTGACGAAGCCGAAGGCTGCAGCTAAGCCCAAGAAGGCTGCACCTAAGAAAAAGTGAACAGTTCGGTTGGAGGCTTCTTCAGTAACCCAACGGCTCTTTTCAGAGCCACCTACATAACTTAAAAGAGCTTGGCACTCACTTCCAACTTGTCTGGTACAAACTAGGCTACTTGTTAGGAACTTCTGAGTTGTACACCTGGTTGACTTAGGCAGCTAAGGGCTTTTTCCCCCCACAGAATAGATCATAGCTTATTTGCCTTACCTGATATTTAAACCCAGGGAGGATAATCAGACGTTCCCCTTTCCAGGTAAGTCCTGTCCCTTAAACATGAGACCCAACAACGCTCTCTAGTACGTTGTGTGACATGGGGCATAGAACAATTTTGTAAGTCCAGTGGGATTGGTGACTATGAAGGGAGCAATACATAGGCTGTCACTCAAGTGCCAGGATTAAACGCTTGCGTCACTACCTCCCGGTGGTACTAAAGCCCTTAAAGCTGTCTATCTGCCAAGAACTGGAAACTGTCACAGGCAGGCAGCACTTTAAGCCTTTTGGAGATTTTTGATTCCCGCTGGTGCTCTTGAACTGATTTTCCTGCCTCCTGAGTACTAGGGTTACTCCCAACCCCTACCCCCCTAACTCAGTCTTTTACTGGACTCCCCTACTCAGCCTTGTACTTACCCTGAGCCATGTTTCTGGCCCTGAATTTAGTTGGGTTTTTTTGTTTTAATACATTTGGTCATAAACAATAATGATTGATTCACCTTTCACTTAAGGGTCAATTTACTTCAAAGTGATATACGCACATTTAGACATTTTGTTTTCCTTCAACAAAACTTTAGAAAGCCAATTAGTCGACCACAGACAGGCCTTTTATCTCAAGCACATGGGAAGTTGAAGCTAAAGAATACTGAATTAAAGCCAGCCTAGGCAGCACAGTCAGAGGCTGTACTAAAACAAGTTCAGGGACGATTTGGTTGGGTTTTGTTTGTTTGTTTTGTTTTCAACCAAAAAGAAGTTGTTTTATTTTTAATAAAGTCTCACACAAAGTATTAACCATTTGTTAATCTGTTGGTTGGCACTAAACTGATCATGATGCAACAAACAGGACTCCATACTGCTAAATATAAAGTATGTCTGACATTTTTAGTAAATGATTTATTCTGAGGACAGCTCAACTTCCAGAAGTGTGTCAGTTTCAGCTTCCCCTTCTGAGTGTGAGCTCATTAACTTATACAGCTTTTAAAGGATGTAGAATAATTTCCGTTATTTTAATGCAAAATTTCTTGGCTACTAGCATCAACTTTCTTTGGTGGCTACTTTAGTACTCCTGGGAATTGCTTGTTTCTATTTCTTGCTCATTGTTTCAGAGTGGTCTGTTTTCTTGTTCCATTATGAGTTTGTTTTAGATGCACATTTCTTTTTATGTGTTAGTATTGTTTCATGTGTGTGTGTGTGTGTGTGTGTGTGTGTGTGTGTGTGTGTGTGCAATCAGAGTTACACATGATTAGGAGCCACCATGTGGATGTGGGGAACAAACCACCAAGGGTTTGTTCTCTCCAAGAACAAGTGTTCTTAGCCACTGAGCAATCTCTTCCCTTGCCTCTATTGTATTTTTTAACATAGTAGAAAAATGACTTTTTTTTTAACCAACATGCACAGTGTTTTAACTTTGATCCTTTAGTCTCTTTATTTTCTGTGTGGCATATTTATTTTCATCTGTGATACATTAAAGTTTTGAATATTATACATAAATGTTTTAATGTGTTAAACATGCATATGTCTTTAATGGGTTTTGGTTTCAAGTCTTGATTCAGAAATTACACCCGAGTGCCTGAATTATTTGTGTGGTCTCTTAGATTTTGAGAATGTTGCTTTTTAAAACATTTTAGGCTCAGCTAGACCTAATACACAAGTGTCCTTGAGAGGCTGAGGCAAGGTGATCCCAAGTTCAGGTACTGCTTGGGCTACAGAGTGAGGTTTTTGAGACCATCATAAGCAAATTAGCAAGACCCTGACTCAATATAAAATGTTGAAAGAGGGGAGGGCTGGGAGAAAAAAAGGCTTAGCACTTAGCCCAGTGGTAGAACATTTGTCTAGCATTTATTTGTAAGACCCTGAGTTTGATTCCCAGTACTGCCAGAAGAAAAGAAAAATTAGTTTCTTATCCATAAATACTATATTTAATATTGTTTTAGTCAGTTGTTCCAAAAGCATTTCTTAAACAACCCATTCATTTCCTTCACTGGGCTAACATTCACTCTTATTTCTAAACTTATTATATAAGAGGATCTAGGGTCTATTTTTGCATCTACTGTTCTCCACATAAACTAGGTACGTACCTTTTAAATTTATTTCTTTTTATAGGCATAGTTTTACTGTGACTGGAACATTTCTCATGGCCTTTTGTTACCTCTTAGTGCTAAGAGGTATATTGGTAATAAATAAATCCACCTTTTAAAAATTCCTCAGTATGACTTTCCTACATTTGGCGGCTGTGGAAACTTGAGACAGGGTTTCACTGTGTAACAGCCCTGGCCTCCCAAGGGTGGGGACTAAAGGCGGCAGCATCACAGCCCAGCTGAATTCCATGCATTTTTTTGTGCTGCTTTTGCTACAAAACTCCAAAGTACTGATTTTAGCATTTTAATTTCTGGTTTTAGTTTATATTGTATTGGATGTTTGTTAGCATACTTATTAATTTTTTAGTGTAAGTATTTTAAGTAGTTTCCTTTCATTCTCATTTGACTTAAATTTAGTAGTTGATAGCTTTTCTTTATATAGTGATATGATTTTAATATTTTTAGCACTTTCTTAAATGTTAGGCCCTCAAATATGGTGTGACTGGAAGACTTAAAAGTATGAAACTTGTTTCTCTAAGACGGATGTTTCTGAGAGAGAAGCAGAGGGAAGTGATGGAGATGAGAGGGGGCAAATCACAGTTCTGAGTCTGCAGCCTGCGAAATTACAAAGTAGAAGACAGACTCAGCAGCTGACTCCGATAATGGGAGTCAATTCCTTAGCTCTGCTGCGCGAAATCATTTCATGGCCTTGATAGCAGTTTGTGGGAGAATGAAGTGATATATTGGAGTCTTTGAACTTATAAAACTAGGAGATTGGGTCAGACTGCCAAAACAGTGACTGTGGTTGTATATATGAAAAAAGAAAGAAGCCGGGCGGTGGTGGCCAACGCCTTTAATCCCAGCACCTGTGAGTTCAAGGCCAGCCTGGTCTACAAGGGCTAGTGCCTGGACAGGCTCCAAAGATAGAGAGAAACCTTGTCTCGAAAAAAAAACAAAAAAAAACAAAACAAAAAAAAAACAAAAGAAAGAAAGGAAGAAAGGAAGAAAAAAGGAAGATCTGAATTCTGAATCATCCAGTGTCAAAAGAGAGGGAGATCTGTCCTTGAAAATTTATTACACATAATTCTGAATATATATTTCTATATTTGGGGGCTTTCATTTGTTTACTTCAAAGTAATTTGGTTTGAATTGGTTTTAGTGGTTTGAGATGGGGTCTCAATGTTGCTCAGTGTGCAGCTGGGGATGGTCTTGAGTGCCGGATGCTACTGCCTCCATCTCCAAACTGCTGGGATGACAAAGACATGTTGTACCATGGCAGGCTAAAGTCGTGTTTCTGTAGATTCCAGCCTGGTAGGAATGGAATGAAACCCGTGCTACAGCACGTCACGTCACAGAGGGGAAATGTCTTTCTGGAATATAGCATATATTTTAGACGTTTTTGTTGTTAGCTGTGTACATGCGTTTTCTGCATCATTTTCACCAATATTTCATATTGGCGATCATTGTGAAATATTCTGAAACCAGAGGCTGAGATGTGACCGTGGTCATCCAGTCTGGAGCCTCTGTGTTTAGATGTCTGATGTCCTGACTGCAAAACTGGCAGATCTACCTATGCATACAAGAAGCAGAGACGAACAGAGCTTCCGGCAACTCCAAGGTGACAGCAGGCACACACATATTCTTTTTATCATTCTTTTTTTTTTTTAAATTATTCCATTTATTTTGTAAGTGAAAGGGAGGTGGGGGGGGGAGGAGTGTGAGTGATCACGTGACCCCATCTCCTGTGAAGGTTAGAGATTGGCTTGAGAGAATCAGTTCTCTCCTACCATGTGAGCAAAAAGCAGGGACTGAAAGTAGGTCAGGCACTTTTTCTGGCTGAGCCAATCTTACGGATCCAAATTCTACCCCTTACTACTTGCTTTGTCTCTGCCTTTGGAGCTCTTTGAAAGGAAAAAGGAAAGGCTGACAAAAGTCACCGGAAATGATTGAAGACTCATAGGGCCTCAATAAAGGGGTGCACATACACTACAAATAATGGGATTTGCCAGTTCGTGCAAAGATCGCAGCACAAACGGGAGAAAGATGGGAGTTGGAGGAGAATCTCTCATGCAGCTTTTATTATGTCGTATGTAGCTAGATTACAAAAGGAAAATGTGGAAGAAAGGGGGGAATTTATTGTTTTCTTTATAGTTTCAGCTTCTTGACAATGTACAATGGGATGTAAATTAGAATATACTAATTTGTATATAAAACCTGGCTGGAGTGATGGTGAAGGATATTTGCAGCAGCAAGCTCAGATCTGAGTGTTCTGCTTGTGACCCGCATTGCATTCAGCTCTCACAAGTTCTCTGACTCATAGCACGCCTGTGTGTCGGGTGTGAGGATGTATGTGTGTGGGTGTAAGACCGGCTGTAGGCAAGCCTGTCAAGCACTTTCTTAATACGTGATTGATGAGAAAGAGCCCAGCTCTTTGTGGGCGGTGCTATCCCTGGGCTGGTGGTCCTGGGTTCTACAAGAAAGCAGGCTGAGCAAGACAGGTGTCGTGAGCCAGTAATCAATACCCATCCACCGCCTCTGCATCAGCTCCTGCCTCCAGGTTCCTGCCCTGCTTAAGTTCCAGTCCTGACTTCTTTCAGGGATGAACAGAGATGTGGAAGTGCAAGCTCTTTCTTCCCAAAGGTGTTTTGGTCGTGATGTTTCATCATAGCAATGGTACTCTTAACTCGGACACCATCTCCTTTATTTTTTGTAACATATTTTTTAAGCCAAACCATAGCACTGCCCGATCTCCACCCTAGCTGGTCTGGACCTCTTCCTATAGGAGTAAGATCAATTTGGGAACTCAAACATTCAGAAGATGCCTACTTAGTGATAAGAATCAACGCCCAAGAGAACCCACTGCCCAGCTATTAGAAGGTGAGGGCTCACAAATTCCCCAAACTTTGAAGGTAGGAAGATAGTTACACCTGCTTTATCTCTTCCTGAACATTGAGCTTTGGCCATCTGCTTACTCCTCCTTACAGAGACTGTAACGGGGGCTATAACAGCGTATCTTACTACAAGCAAGAGTATATTCTTTCTGTTAAAGGCCACATCCTAACATTTGGTGGTTTGAAAGAACCAGTTGGAAAATTTTCAGGCATTTTTTTGAGCCCATTGTTAAGCCCAGTGGTTACTAAAAGCATGTGAGTTACAATTAAATAACATGTTTAGAGTCAGGTACTACACTCTTCCAGCTATGTAATAAGCATCCATACCTCTTGTGCTTTGAGTGAATGTATTACATGATGTGGTGCTGTGTGTTTCTTCAGTCACGCTGTTAGTTCATTATTGGGTGGGAGTAATTCAGCCATAAAAATGGTGGCGTTACAAGAGCTTTTTTTTTTTTTTTGTGCGTGTATGCTGGGGAGATTGATTTTCTAAGAGTTGGCTTGGTGGAGTAGCTACTGGATTTTCTGTAGAAGCTGATTCTGAAGGGTATAGAAGATGCTGGTTGCTGTTACTGGATCCAACTGTTGGCGCTAGGAAGAACTCTATGCTGGTCTCAACAAACTGGAAAGTAAATAGAAAGTGAGGTCTTTCTTATCCTTGCAGCCTTCGACTTCCCATGGTGCTCCCACGTAGGACCTGAGGGAGGTTGTGAGGCGGGGCGATCTGAAGCTTTGGCTAAGTCTTCACGAGTAGCACATGGCAGCTTAGGTCATCACTGTTCCTGACCTTGTCCTGCCCCCTACTCACTGGTGCAGCTCTCAGCCTTGCCACACCTTTGTAGGCCGTCTCGGCAATACATGTGTCTGATAGTCTT